ATTTAAGGCATTGAGAAAAATAATTTAAGGCATTAAATATTATTAAATATTAAATTATTTAAGTAATTATTTAAATTATAAAAATTATTTTAAAATTTAATTTAAAAATTAAATTATTTAAGGCATTAAATAATTCATAATCTAGACTTCTTGAAAAGGAAACACTTTAAATGGGAATTATTTTTGTTTGGGTTAAAATAAAACGACTTTAAAATGTTTTACAGCTGATTCATTAAAGATATGTTAAATAAAAATGAAATCTCACATAATTTAATAAAAGGAAGAAAAAGAGGGATGCAACTCAATTTGAGTATTCTAATGAGCTCTGAAGAGCTCAGATTTCTTTAAGGATGAAAGAGGGTGGTAGGGATATAAATGAAAACAAACAGAAGAGAAGTACATACTTGTCCTGGAAATATGCTAATGTCCCTGTCAGCTAAGTTTAAAAAAATAAAAGAGGTGTAAGAGTTCACTGCTACTGCAGTAAAATAAAAACTGTGGATGCTTTCAAAACACAAGAAAATTTCCAATGACATCTAATAATTCCCAAAATCTGATTCTCCTCAGCTTATATTTTACTTCTATCTTCTCTAGTATGATTCATTTTCAAACCAGAAAGGAGAAAAAAATAATGTTCAGAGATGATAGAAACTCCAAATAGACAGAGATCAAGAGACACTGAACTGCTTTAAATGAGTACAGGTATCCAGACTCAGAAGATTAAAATGCAAGAGGGTAGAAGAAATTTGCATCCATATAAGCATCATCAATGGTTCAGAAAATTTGGGTGGAATTTATAGACTTAGTACTAAAGGGATAAATCAAAGGAAAGTGATAAATAGAACACAGTGTTGATTTAGAAAGGTAATGGTGAAATACTTCCTAATATTCCCTTGGATGTGCTAGAGATAAATAGCTAAGTTATATTAAGTGGCTTCGATGATAAAAGTATCACACATGAAGATTACTATGTTTAAATTTTATACAAATTCAAAGAAAAGGCCCTTCAAAATCTATTATGATCTATTGAGTTTTAGAAAACATGATTACCAAATCTACAGATGACCAAAAGGAGCAAAGTAAACACACTAAAGATAGAGGTCAAGAGGATCTAGGTAGATAGTATAGACTAAAACAAAAAAGATTAATAGGAATAGGAATAATTAAGTTCAAGCAACACTTTTACAAGTGTACAGAGGGGAGCTTTGAATTAGCAGGTCACTAAAAAAAAAAAAAAACTGTAAGTTTTAATTGACCATATGCTCATTTTGAGCCAAAGCCATTAGATAGCTCAGAAAATCTTGACCCCTACTAACATAGGTCTTAGATCAATAATAGGGAGAAAATAATTTCTCTATATAATGTTTTAAATAGCTGCTGTTTTATTTTCAAAATAAAATTTACCCACCATTCCATCATACAAAGATGAGTACTATTTACATTTTAGTGTTTGCCATTTCAGATTTCTTAATGCACATTATAGATGTTCACACAGTTTTTCTTAAAAAAGGATCTAATGCTCTTTTGTAGCTTGTTTTCTTTTTAATTCTCAATTTAACAGTTTTACTAAGTCCCAGTATATACTATTCTAGTCAAACAACAGCCAGTGCATTTTATTCATTTCTGGTTACCATATTTTAAGTGGGTCAGTGCAAAGTTTAAGCACATGCAAAGAAAAAAAAAAAGACGGTAATGAAAAGTACAGAAACATAAGTTTTTATCACCTATACTCTATTGCCACAAGACAAGTTGATGAAACCTTGCAAAAAAAAAAATATAAGAAATCAATATAGCTAAATGCATGAACCTAAGGATCTGTCCTGGCAGATGACCCACATAGCCAAACTAGTACCAACTGCTGGAAATTACAGGGAGGTGGAATTCAGCTCAGCAAAAGGAGAATTTTTTTAATAATTAGAGCTGTCAAAAAATGAAATGGATCTAGTCATTGGAGGTTTTAACAAAGACTGGAATAATTAGTAACGGATATTAGAGATATTTCCTCTAGAAGAGAAACTGAATTAAAGGCCCCTTTCCATTTAAAAATTCTGTAATTCTAATGGAAAACTTACAACAGAAATTTAGTTCCAAAACAATATGAAACAAATACTTAGGAATTAAGGCTTAGGAAACAATCAAGTGCTTTAGAGCTAATGAGAAATAATAACAATACTAATGGTGGACACTAGTGTGCTAAATGCTTTATATTCACTTATACTTTGTTTGATCCTTAGGACAACCCTATATGATAGGTGCTATCACTGTATCTGCTTGATAGAAGAGGACAGTGAAATGTACAGATTTTTACGTCTGCTCAAGATCAATCTCCTTTTGAAAACTGCAGTATCGTTCCAACATACCTGATTCCCCACCACATAGCTATTGCTCATTTAACAGTTAATATGTAATCAAAGTCACCTTCAGAAATGTTCTTATCCAGATCCCCCAAAGGGCAGTCACGAGACATTTTTTTAAAAAAAGAAACAAAAACACAAATTTTAAGAATTTTTAAATTATTACAGCAAAAAAAAAAGTCCAAGTTAGACTATCTAAATTTGCCACACAGCGTAAACTTTTATAAATAAGCGATTCAATGAGTAAGACTTAAGACATGATAAAGTAAATTTGCATCACACAACTTCAAATCCTTGTCATTTTTAATCAGTGACTTTGGGGGAATTCGTAATATTTCTCTCTTCAGTCCATCTGCGAAATGAGGATCAGCCTCTTAAGGCTGATAGAAGAACTAAATGAGATGACAGATGTAAGCATTTAGCACAGGATCTGACACTGTTATTACACAACACAAGTCATAAATAGGACGGGAGAGCACCAAATCTATTCCACAATTCATCCCAAAATATTTAAAAATTTCAAAGTGTCCTTATGCTGGAAGGGGCAGGGGCCACATTTTCCATTACTGTTTCATAAATCTCTGATGATAATCACTTGTGAGACAGACACAACTAAGTCAACTGCGCCTTTTTAGGAAATTTCATTTGCTGCAAAGGATCAACTTCAACTCTTGTTTTCTTACAAGACACTGTTTCAGTTGTTTATTACCTGTGCAACAGATAAATGAAAGTTGACTGGTTTTGATGGACTTCAAACGACGCTAATGAATATGGCTTTTTAGGTTTCATTGTTTTCTGTGTGAATTCTTGTTTTGGAGCTTCTACATCTACCTCTGACAAGATCAGCGAGAGACAACCTCTCATTCAAAAAGTACACTGTGGATCAAATTTTGATATTTTATTGAAAGTGACTTACATTAAGTAGCTGGTATTTTATTCCTAAAATTTGACATCTAGTCTCTTTTAAAATGGCACCTTGAGAAAGTATTTAAAAGATGTTTACCGTTGATTGTAAGGTCCTTAAAATACCATTTATCTCAATGAAATTAACTGAAATTCTCAAAAAAATTCTTCAACACTTTTGCAAAGAAATTGTTTTTTAGAAGTCTCTTTCAGCATATAGGTTTCCAGTCAGAATCATTTTTATTACTGATATAGTATACTGGTAAACATACTTACTTTACCTGCAACTTAAAATTGTAACCAGGTAAACTGCTTTTATATAAATTATCTGTGACTAAAGTCAATTATTAGAGCTATAATCTGAAATACAATCTGAAAGGAGAGGTGTGAAAGTGAATTATTTAACAAGGGAGTAAACACAAGAGCCATCATTTCTAAGACCTATTGAAAAAAAAAGTCCCATAAATATTCATTGTTCTGAAGTGAACTGTCATTCCAATAAAATGTCATTGTCAACAAGTACAGATGGTCACATATGGAGCTTTTTAAAACCCCATCAACTGTTTTTCAACTAAGTTCATTTCACTATAGTATCTCAGGAGTTGTGTTTTCATTTTCCCTATTAGCCAGTACCGTCTGACCATGCAACACGAGAACTTGTTCAAATAACACAATGGCATTATTCAAAAGTTTATATTAAGTAACTGTCAAGAGTGGCATGAAATAGTTTTGAAAAATCAAAAAAATCAATTGCACTTTAAAATGTTGTCACAAGTCCACTTGGGATGTTTACGTGATGTTTTAGGGTGAAGACATGAATGATGAGCCACAGTTTTAGAAACTAAAGTGATTTCCTTGAATTTCTTCTAGTGAATATTCTCCAGGCTTCCTCCCTCCTGGTCGATTTCCTTTGCTCATCAATGCAACTTTGAAGTTAACAGCTTTTCAAATATGCAAATCAACCCTGCTATTTCTAAGGTACTGCCTGCTGAATAAAGACCTTGACATTTTTTTAAATGTCATCTTAGATTCCCCAAGCAATATCAGTCTCACCTGCAACACCTTCTCATTAAAAGGCCTCCACCACATTCCATACACACTGTTCCCATCCTGAGCTGGCATCCTTCATCCTGAGATTTAATAGCCAAGTTTCACTCAGCTAGTCCAGGTAACTGAAAGTACTGCTGGGGCTGGCTGCCTGACTGGCCTCATCAAGTTTTACACACACCCTGTACTGATGACATCTCGCCACAAGGTTCACTTTCTTCATTTTATGGGATCCTAATCCACAGCACAGCAAATGCCTTCTGCAAGAAAAGGTAGCAGCCACCAAAGGCTGTGGCTTTTGCAGGGTAATTGCATGCACGCAGTAGCTTCTCTGCCAATTTTACTTCAACAAAACAAAACAAAAAAGGCTGGGTTGGAGGCTGAAAAAATATATATATGCATTGATGGAAAGCGGGTAGAAGGTCGATTTTCTCCCAGCAACATGTACAAGTTCTGCACCACAGCTCAGAGAAAAGTAGCTCCTGACGCATTGATGGAAGGTTATTTTAAAATTACTCAAAGCCTCGAAGGCATCAGTCTGACGGGGAGCCTCAAGCCTGCTCTCCATAGAGTCTGCTTTCCTGCCTGATTTAAGAATGAATCGCGGACAACCTGCAGGTGCCATAAGCAGGAGGAGGTCGTACCCACCACCATGCATCACGAGGTAGGCAACCCCGACACTGCTGCCGCGCTTACCTTAGCAGATTAGACAGGGGCAGGGGTCCGGATCCACCGCCCAGGATCCCTCCTTTCCTGCCAGACAGGAGTTTCTCCACCAGAGCCACATTTCCCGTGCGAGCAGCTTCCAGCAGCTCCTGGTCCTTCCCCATAGTCTCTCACCGACTCCTCCTGAGTCCGCTCCCCCTCCGGGGCCTCCTGCCCGCCCACCCCCACTCCCCCAAATCCAGGGCCCTCCCCGCCCCACCCTAAAATAATGCCAGGGCTTCAGCTCGCTGGGAGCCCCGCAGCCCCGCGCCGGGCGCTCCGCTCTCCTCTTCGGGGCGCAGCTTCTACAATGGGGCTCACACCATGTGTTGGATGGCACAGGGGCCGGCCGAGCCGGGAGCCGCGACGCGCCCCCACAGACACTCCCCTGGATTCTCGCGGCCTTGCTCCCGCGGGTGGGGCGTGAGGGGTGGGGGCCCGCGTGCTTTGGAGGCGCGGCAGGAGGATGCTGAGGACTGGGGGGGTCGGCGGCGCAGCGGCGGCGGCCCGCGCGCCCGCGCGCCCTCGCGCCCGGCCGGCCCGCGGGGGGCTCTGCGGCGGCCGAGGGGCGCGGCGGCCGCGCTGGTGGCGGCTCCGGCGGCCGAGGCCGGGCGGCGCGGACGGGGGGCGGCGGGCGCGTGCCGCGGGCTCGGCGGCGCGGGGCTGGGGCCGGGCCGGGGGCGCCGCCCGCGGCTGGAGGCCTGGCGCGCGGGGCGGGCGCGGGGGGGCGTGTGCGCGCGGGCAGGTGCGGCCCGGCCGTCCCCGGCGGGGCGGGGGGCGCGGGCGGGGGCGGGGCGCGGGGCGGGGCGCGGGCTGCGATTAGCTTGGTTTTCGTGGGCGGGGACCCGCCCTCGTCCAGTCTCCTTGGAACGGCGTTAACCGTGTGAGCCCTGGAGTTGTCGGGGCTGCAGCGCCTCGGGGCAGCTACGGCGCCGGAGGCTCATCCCCCTGGAAGGCGGAGGCTCACTCCCCTGGAGGCGGCGGAGGGGCTGGCGAGGCGGCCCGGGGGTCCCTCTCCCCGCGCGCATCGGGGTGCGGGCAGCTGGACGGGCGTCTCGCCCTTCCCGGACCGCCTGGAGGTGGCCTGAGGCGCGCCCGGCGTTAGGGAGGAAAGGTTTGTTTTCTCCTCGTTCCCGTGCAACTGGCCACTGAGCAGTTTGTGACCGTTCCAGTTTCTCTAAGGTCTTTCATCCGACCCATATTTCCGTGGGGCTTTGGGGAGCTGCAGGCTTGCAGAAATGCCAGGAGCAGGGCTCTCATTGAGAATTCCTCTGCATCCTACACTGGGGAAAAAAAGATAAATGGGCATGGATTAGAGATCCACTTTAATTTGCATAGATCCTCGGCGAGGCTTTGTGCATGGTTGCTTGATTTTGTTACACGCTCTCCTTGGCCAGGGTGGAGAATAAGCGTTTATTTTCTTGTGAACCGTCCTGAGACACCTTGTGCTTTGCCTTGCCCTTGGAATAGAATTCCTAAATGTTAACTTGTTGATAATCACTTGGGAGGGAAGGACCATGATAGGGACTTTTCTTAAAACAACTCAGTGAACTGGGTATGACTACAGCATATTCGTTTTGGAAAAGAGGATGTCGTGGTCCAAAGAGTTAAATTTCTCGAGATGCTGCACACATCAAGTAGCTAACAGAACTGAACCCCAAAAAGGACTCACTGCAGAACCTATGCTTTTCCCAATGCACCTTGCTGTCCCCATGAAAAAATAAAACGTGCAGACATAATTATCACCGATATTTAACGAGCAGTGACTCTGAACCAGGCACTCTGCAGTGGGGCTTTCCATGTGTTATCTCAATGTTCCTAACAATCTTATGGGATAGGTACCATTTTTATCTATTTCATTGACGAGGCAACTGATTAACCCAAGATCATGCAGCTACAAAGTATCTGTAAGCCAATGCTCAAATCTAGGGTTGTAGGTAGATGTGTTAATAACTGGAGAAATTTTCAAGATCTTCAGAGATATATCAGCAAAAGTATATTATAAAAATATTCACGGAATTTGGTGTTCTGAGAGTTCATTTTAATGATTCGAAGATTAAGTAAATTATGATTGTCCATAGAGCCTTCCTGAAAGCAGATTTTGAGCTTGTGTTTTTTGTTTTGTTTTAGAATCTGTTCTAATGATAAGATGATATTATATGTGATAATAATAAGATCTGACATAATCGGACAACAGACCAGTTAAAGAAACAAGAGTTAAAGAAGCATTGAATTCATTTTGAAAACAGCATATAGAAATCCTTCCACCTTCCTAATTTTGCAGTGTAAGCAAAATGGAAAATCTTTCTTCCACTTTCCTAATGTTGTCTTTTAAATAAAATACACCTTTCACAGAATAAACTGTAAGTATTCAGTTGATCATAGCTAAAAATCACATTTTTCACAAGCCACATTTAATCATGGCTGAAGTAGTCATCAGAAGCTCCTGAGTCATCATTACCAGAATCAACCCCCAATGGGAAAACTATTTATTCTAAGATTTACTCTATCAGTTCCACAATTCCAGGCACTCTGATGGCATCATGATACTCAAAGTCAGTTTTTCAACTCCAAGCTCTTCATTTTTTTTTTTTTTTTAAGATTTATTTATTTATTTATACAAGCACTGGGTACAGTCAGAAGCGTGGGAGGGTGAGAGAATTCACCAGAGCCAGAGTGGGGTGCAGAGCAGGCAGAAGGACCGAAGTACACTGCTGAGGGGAGCAGTGGGCGGCAGGAGAGGCCTGCGCGCCATGTGGGACCCTCCTCTGGTGGCCGGGGAGCAGCCGGGGATCCAACCGGCGCTGCAGGGGCCGCGGGCAGCTTCGCAACCCAGTGCTCAACCGCTGGGCCACCAGGGGAGGCCCCAAGCTCTTCATTTTTAGTTACATAATAGTCGTTTTTGAAGAGGACAAAGGCTTGCCTATATGGGAATTAACTTGCAAATTAAAAGTGAAAACATTTTTCCAAAGATCTAACGAGGCCAAAAAATCCAGATTTTTTATTTAAATATCCAGTTTGCATCTAGGTAAGTGGAAAGAGCCAGAAAATCCTGGGAACCAATTAAGACAGTTTAGATCCCAGTTTGCTCATAAGTAAAATGAAGAAATTATGTCTAATGGTCTCTACTGCCCTTCCCAGCACTAATATTCTATGCTTATGATGAAATGGGGTCTGAGTCCATTAAATAATAGTATAATTGAAGTTAGTTTTGAGATAAATTTCTATTTTTAATTAAAAAATAAAAATATACTTCCTTATTTCTTCTTCTTTGTTTCATCTTTATTTTATTTGGCCTTTGTTCAAGATTAAATGAAGTTTCCTATCATCTTGAATATAATTTTTCTTGACTGTGTGTTCATTTGGTTGCTGTAGATCTTTAATTTCCAAAGTATGCATAGCCATTTTATCCATTCTCTAATTATTTCTATTTCTATAGAGTTAAAAAAAAAAAGTCTGAAGACTCCTAGCTCACTATTTTGTTTGATAATTGTCTTGGGAATAATTTCTTGAATATGACAAGAAAAGCACAAGGAACAAAAGTAAAAATATACAACTGGTACTACATCAAACTAAAAAGATTTCACATAGAAAAGGAAACAATCAATAAAAAGAAAAGAATCTATGGGTTGAGAGAAGATATTTTAAATACTTCTAAAAGGGATTAATAGTCAATATATATAAGTAACTCCTACAACTCAATAGTAAGAAAACAAACACCTGCTTTTAAAAATGGACAAAGTGGACCTCCCCTGGTGGCGCAGACGGTTGAGCACAGCGCTGTGAAGCTGTCCGCAGCCTGTGCAGTGCTGGTTCAATCCCCACTGGCCTCGGAGCAACCCACATGGCGAGCAGACCGCTCCTGTCTCGCCCACTGCTCCCCTCAGAAGTGTATTTTGTCAGTCTGCCTGTTCTGTGCCCTGCTCTGTCTCTGATGAATCCTCTCACCCTCCCGCGAATCTGGCCTGTACCCAGGTTCATGTATAAATAAATAAATCTTTAAAAAAAAAAAGTGGACAAAGCAACTGAATAGACATTTCTCCAAAGAAGACATACAAAGGAAAACACGTACATTCAAAGGTGTTCAACATCACTAACATCAAGGAAATCAAATCAAAATCACCAAAAAAATCACCTCATACCTATTAGGATGACAATAATCAGAAAAATAAAAAATAAGGTACTGGGGGGATGTGAACAAAAGGGAAACCTTATACACTGTTAGGAATGTAAATTGGCGCAGCCACAATGGAAAACAGTGTGAAGTGTCCTCAAAAAATTAAAAATAGAAATGCCATATGATTCAGCAGTCCTACTTCTGGATATATATCCAACGGAATTAAAATCAAGCTATTGAAGAGATATCTGCCTGCCCTCTCATGCTCACTGCAGCACGGTTCACACTAGTCAAGACAGGGAAGCAATCTAAAGGTCCATCAACAGATGAATGGATAAAGGAAATGTGGTATAAACATACAATAGAATATTGTTCAGCCTTAAAAAAAGAACACCCTACCATCCACAAAAAAAATATTCAGACCTGAAAGATACTATGCTAAGTGAAAAAAAAAACTAGAAATACAATTACTACATGATACTACTTATATATGAGTAATCTGAAATTGTCAAAGTCATAGAAGTAGAGAATAGAAAGACAGTTGTCAGGGCCTTGCGGGGCAAATGAGGATTATTAGTCAACAGGTACAAAGTTTCAGTACAAGCACACAGTCAACAATATTATATACTTTAAAAATTCGCTAAGAAGGGCCTCACCAGTGGTGCAGCAGTTGAGCGCTGGGTTGCGAAGCTGCCCGCAGCCTCTGTAGCACTGGTTCGATCCCCAGCTGCTCCCCGGCCACCAGAGGAGGGTCCCACATGGCGCGCAGACCTCTCCTGCCGCCTGCTGCTCCCCTCAGCAGTGTGCTTCGGTCCTTCTGCCTGCTCTGCTCTCCGCTCTGGCTCTGGTGAATTCCCTCACCCTCTCGTGCTTCTGACTGTACCCAGTGCATGTATAAACAAAAAACAAACAAATAAATAAATAAGTAAATAAAACATGCCTCTATTAAAAAAAAATTCGCTAAGAAGGTAAAACCTTAAGAGTTCTTATCACAAAAAGAAATGAGGAAAAAAGTTAAGGAAACTTTTGGAGATTA